CAACTTTGTCTGAACCACATGCACCACACTGCTAAAACTCTGAGAAAACACAATTGCAAGACAAGAAGCCTGTTCTGGACTGGAAGCACAAACGAAGGACAACCTTGTCCAGACTCCCTGTAAAATTCCATCACTGAGACAACTGCACAAAAAAGCAGTCTAATTTGGAAGCGTGGTTGTTTTTCCTATGTAAGATAAATAATCAATCCGTTGCTAGGTAAATAAAAATGCATCTAGAGAAATTTTCCCACCTATTGGAAGTAGAGAATTACAAAGAATGTGGCATGTTGCACACAACCACTGCCACTCCCTATACACAATACTGAGAATGATCATTAACTATACTTCTCATTTTAATGTTATAAGTTAATATTTTTCAAATGTCCTGGACTAAGTACTGTCACTAAGTAAATTGTTTATTTTGGATAAATGACAGATTTATGACACTATAATGACCACTAACCATTCATACAGCAGTATGTAGGCAACAAATATTTATACTGAATACTGTACTAACAAGACAAAGATACAGAAACCTCACCAGAAGAACCACTACAAGTTTAAAATGAATAAATGACACACTCACACATGGTTCACGGACGCATAAATAGAGCATGAAAGCTAAAGAAGAAGATGTATAAATCCACACACTGATTAAAAAGCAAAAAAAGAACAATGCTAGTTTTTAATTGTATAGGCATTTCATTCTTTCTCTCTCTTGGATGTTATTCCATTGGCAAACGTGGTCCATTTTTCTTCTGAAATAAAAATTAGTCATTCCATTTTCAAGGTATTCTTCCATTCCTTCCTCTCTAAGGTGACATTGTTTTAACTCATCACAAAGTTGAACCATGAAGTAAGTGATACTCCAAAAAAAAAATCTATGTTTGAAAGGTAGTTTGTACAATTGCACATAAAAAATCCTGCTGCAATTAAACACCCACCCACAGACATGGACAAAGACACCCCCTCCCAATATCTTGATATCATAAAAAGAGCTACAGAGTTCTTGTTTGCACCTGATGAATTCACATTCTCTAGACAGAGAAATTAGTTGTCATCTTAACAATTAGCTTCTCAGAACCCCTAAGACTGCGGTAAAATATCTGTTTTATACAGATTTGATTCTCTATCCCACAGGTCTGGTTATGAACTAACACAATACTGTACCTTCTAGCTATTTTAAATCACTAAAACATGCAAGCATTTGAGGTCAGGAGAGTGAGTTGGTATCACAGGAGACAGAGAGGGGGAGAGAGAAAGATCAACCAAGGGAAACATAATCAGGCTTATGACTACCGGTGCATTTAGGTCAGTTGAGTAAGCTACATTTCCATGGGTCCAGCTGAGTGATGCTAAATTATTCTTCCATTATAATCAAAACAGAAAAGAGCCAACAGAAAAAGAAGGGGGGGGGCTAAAGAAAACTTCTGGGAACAATCAATGTGGCAAGGTGATATGAGGAAGAGCACATCCTCTTGCTCTCCTGCTACCCTTCTGTCATGTACAGACTCTCCCATCTCTGTTTGTATGTGAATTGGCAATTGGCACAGAGAAATTCAAGTTGTCCAGTCCATTCAAAGAACTGGCTACAATATTTTCTTCCTTCTCTTCTTTGATAGACAAACATCTTTCGTATGTGAGACATTTCATCAGATGTTTCATACCAAGAGTGAAATGCCAATTGCCCAGAGCTTGGAAACATTACTTTTGTGAACTCTTAAGAATCCCCAGACAGCATGGCTATTGTTCCAGAATCCCAGGGATTTTGGCAACTATAGTCCAAAAACGTAACTTTTCCAAGCTCTGCTCTTCCCTTATGCACGTTCAACCTCATTGGCTAAAATATAGTAGTAAATCAGTGGATAGGCCCATTGAATTGGTGGGATTTAATGAGTCAATGCCTTGGCAAGTTCCATTAATTGCAATCCCTGTTCACTGGCCATGCTAGTGGAGGTTGATGGGCCTTGTTAAACATCTGGAGAAGTGCAAATTGCCACCCCACCCCTACTCTAAGTAGTTAAATGGGGGGCAGAATTAGAGTTGCAATACCCCAACACCAATCTGAATAACCAATTATGTAACAAATATTCACAAATGTCCCTGTCCTTCATGAAAAAGGATGTCTTGATACATCAAAATGCCCTATTGAAAAGTGAAGAACTACTGAGGGACAGTGAAAGGTCCAACATCTTTTTCATGATTATTAGCATTAGCAAAAAAAAAAAAAAAAAAAAAAGGGGGCATGAAAAATTTGCATTTGTACTTAAAACTTTGCATTTGGCACAAACCACAAGATTTTTCCTGTGAAAATCACAAGCTTTTTCTATGCACCAAAGGGACTTTTCTGCACTGAAATACTTCTGCTTCTTTGTTTTGGTACAAATTGCAGAAATACATTCATAACTTCACCAAGTAGAAAGAAACTTTTGAAAATTTCCTTTCTTATTCTGAAAAAATGAAACAAGCAAATCTATACATCTTTGCACATAACGTAAGAACATTAGAAACAAAATATCTATCTCACTTGCACCAAAACATTTCGCCCTATTTTTCCTAGCCTTAGCAGATACATTTTGAGTGGCTGTGGCAAAGAAGGCCTTGTGAGCCTTAATCTTGATAAGAAGTGGGTGTCCTGTCCTCACATCTCCGATTAGATAAAGCTAAAATTGAGATTTTGAAGTTTTATGTAATTTGTCCCTGCAATGTGCACAGAACACTTCAGCTTTGAGCTGCACACAATGGACCTCAATGGTGGAACTGCCCATTAATTCCATTATGAAAACATGATCTATATGTACAGTATGAGTAAATATATTAACATGCAGGAAGAAATGCAGGCATATACAGCTCTATATGTGCCCTGATAGCCACTGGTATAGAATCTATATAGAAAAAAAGGGTTGGGAGGTAGATTTATGTACCTGACATGCTGCTCAGAATCAACAAATAGTAGTCACTCTCATTGTTCTTCTTCTCCAGTGTCACCTGTCAAAGATTTAAAAAAGACAAACAATTCATCAGTTGATAATAAACATATCTCAGAAGTTGCCATTGCCTGCTTACACCCCAGTTTGTTGCTGTAAGAATCATAATACCAGTAGGAACTGGACATGAACTTGCATTTTTATCTTTCTTCACTATGCAAATTTTAAAAACCACACATTCTTTTAATAACAGTACTGAAGACAATTACAAATTTTGTACACTTCATATTATTATTTTTTTTAAATCCAAACCAAAGCCTCACACTTCCACCCTTCTTAGTAGACATGTTGTGAATATGGGCTACATTTTCAACATGCAGAACTGACAAAAGCTTGCTTTACTGAATAATCATGTAATAATACAATTCATAGGCTAAGAGTAAGGAGAAAATATTGCATGTTAGAGTCATTTTGGAGTATCAATACTGTCAATTGCATTTTGAAGATAAATTTCAGAGTTTCCATAATGAAATGAACCAGATGTGTTAGTTATGGCAATTAATATTGCATTTGCTTTCTAAGTAATTAATTCTGGCTGGTTCCCTTAATTACTAAGATGCTACTGCGCCAAAAAACCCTTCATCTACAGCATGGAAATATGAAATGCTGCCACCTTCAATTACTGCTAATTTTGTGTATTCTTCTCTTCCCCTAAGACTGTTGCTATTTGGGGCAGCTTAGTATTGAGGCTAAGCTGCCCCAAATAATATTTAATATTTTAAATTTTAATCAGATTTTATTTCTTGTGTTTCATGCACACCCTGTACTTCAAAAGCATAGAGCTCCACTTTGTATATAATTCATCTGGAGAAACCACCACCAACAACAAAAAAATTAAATAGGGATCATCCTGTCCTTCTCACTGAGGAATCGGCATCTCTGTTTGTGAAGGAAATTATCCTGTAGCTCCACCCTGTGGATGTCTGGCACTATTCTTGCATAGTCCATTCTATTCGCAAGTAGCTTGCATAACTTCTAGAGAAACCAATTCACAACAGTCCTCCTGTTAGTAACAATTCTGATAAGCGAACAAGGAAAGGGTTTTTGTTTTGATGTTTCTTCCAGCTCAGTGTGTGTGTTGGGGGAGTATTACAACATATGCCTATTTGCCAAAGAGTGAGCATTTTGAAATACATAGGGTAGCCTGAATAATTAAATTAATTAAAATCTAAATAATTAGTTTAAATCTGCAAGAAAAACTGTAACCAATATATAAATCCTGGTTTCTCTATTGAATTACATATTGTTCCTTGAAAATGAAGACATTGCTACTGCCATGATAATTTAAAACTATTGCTTTATCTATATAAAGGTTAACCCAAAACCATTAATCATAGAGCTTCTGCATTATATAAGTATTTAAAGGTAAAGATTACCCTTGACAATTTTTGTCCAGTCGTGTTCGACTCTAGGGGGCGGTGCTCATCCCCGTTTCCAAGCCATAGAGCCAGCGTTTTGTCTGAAGACAATCTTCCGTGGTCACATGGCCAGTGTGACTTAGACACGGAACACTGCTACCGTCCCACCAAGGTGGTCCCTATTTATCTATTTGCATTTGCATGCTTTTGAACCGCTAGGTTGGTGGGAGCTGGGACAAGCAATGGGCGCTCACTCCATCACGTGGATTCGATCTTACGACTGCTGGTCTTCTGACCCTGCAGCACAGGCTTCTGCAGTTTAGCCTCCAGCGTCACCACGTCCCCCTAAGTAAATACATAAGTATTTACTTAGAGGCAAAAGATAGTTGGCTATGTTCATTGAAATGTAAAGATACTAAGCAAAACCTCTTCCTTGAAGACTAAGGGTGAAAATCTGTATACATTCATATGAAAGGAAAGACTGATTAAAAAACAATATTCAGATATGCCACTCAGTGCTTGTAGTATATTTTGTCATTAAGTGTTTAGTCATATACGTAGCTGGCAGAGCAATAAATTTATATTATTTTAGTACTAAACACAATGTAAGGCTGAGGAAGTTGAAAAGTATACAATTTGAGCATATTGTAATAATAACTCCACGGGACTGGTGAATATCATAATATGCAATGGCATCTCTTAGATTCTGGTTGCTAGCCCCTTACATTATGTGTTATGCTATTTATTACACTCAGCATTTAAAACCACATGGTTCTCTTTTCTGTTGAAAAGCCCTCTCTAACTCAGGAGTGGTCTACTTGCGGACCTCTGTATGATGCAGGACTAAAACTCACTATCAGTTATGGATTGATCATTAGGATGGCTGGAGTTTCACTCCAATATCTGGAAGGCCACACATATTCTGCTGCTTCTGTAATTCACTATACTTGGTGAATTGTTACTAGTTGACAGAAATGCACAGAAATTGAAAATAAAAGCTACATCAAAGTATGACATTTATAAACTTTTTTTTTAAAAAGCCAGGTATTATCCACCCTACTGCACATGTGAAATTATATAGCCAGTTCTCTGGGAGCAGATTATGATAGCTATAATTAATTCTGGTGTATTTCTGCAGGTGAAGGCATGATCTCTCCTTTGAATTGTACCCTAATCTTCATACAAACTTTCCCACAACCAGGTTTTTTGATAGAATGCTATACCACAGTGGTTTTCGACCATGGCTTCCTAGATGTTCTTGGTGAAGTCTTCTGGTAGTTTTAGTCCAAGAGCGTCCTGGCAGTCAAGGTTATTATTACAGTGGTGCCTTGACTTACAAATGCCTTGACCTACGAACATTTTGAGTTACCAAGAGCTCTCTCTGTTCACATAATTTTGCTTTGACTTAAGAACACAAAAAGGCAGGGGAAAAGGGTGGGAAATTCAAATAGCTAACTGTAGGTGGCAATGAGGCTGCTTCTTTGTAGCTCTGTTACCCTGGCAGTTAGAGAGTTTGCAATTCGAGGAGGCTGCCTACTAAGGTAAGGTGCTGCTTTATACTTTTAAAAAACTGTTCTGGGTATTTTTGCAATGTGGTTTTTGGCTGGGGGTTATGTTTCTGTGCTGTGATGGGTCTTGGGGAGGTTTGGTTTTTTTTTAGTTCCTCCTCATTTTCGATGGTTTGGTTGCTTTTTGGAGTGTTTTTTCATTTCTGATGGGTCTTGGGCATTGTTTGCTTTTTCGGTTTTTTCCCAATTTTAATGAGTCTTGCATTCTTCCCTTGCTTTTTTGCTTCATTCTCTTTGCATGTCTGATCTGCTCCATTTGTTTTCTGTGCTTTTGCAATGGTTCCTGCATGCGTCCCTTGCTTTCCTGCTTTGTTCTCTTTGCATTTCTGATCTGCTCAGTTTGTTTTCTGTGCTTTTGCAATAGTTCCTGCATGCTTCCCTTGCAAATCAGAAAAGTTTTTGCAAGGGTCTGTGCTGGCTTGGTTTAAAATGTGTTGGTGTAAAATATGTGGGTTTAAAATGTGTGGATTTAGCATGTGTTTTAGACTCCAAACTCTCTCCCTCCCCCATTGTCTTCTCTCTCTCTCTCTCTGTCTCCCTCCTTTCCTGCACTTTTTTTAACCTAAGTCATCTTAGGTTAAAAAATATTCTCCCCCTAGTGGTAGAGGAGGGATTGTCCAGTTTTGGATTAGTTCCTTTGCTTTGACTTACAAACCGTGCCCTGACATAAGAACAAAAAACAGCTGGAATGAATTAATCAGGTTAACAAGATAAACAACACAATATCAAAACATGAAAAAAAATTATATATATGGGGATGAGAGCTCAAAAACAATGCTGAGGGAAAGCCTGGTGGAAGAGCCAAGTCTTCAGTGCTCGTTTAAACCCATCCAGCGAGGGTGCCAGGTGGATCTCAATGGGCAGGTTTTTCCATAGGCAGGGGGCCACTTTCAAGAAGGCCTGGTTTCTTGTTCTTTCCCTCCGGGCCTCCTTCAGGGTCAAGGCCCTCAACCGCCCTGCCTCTGAAGAATGGGCATTATGGACAGATCTGGCTGGGAGCAGGCGTTCTGTTTGGTACCTAAGTCCTAAACCGTTTAGGGCTTTGAATGTTATCATCATAACCTTGAAGTCGATGTGAAGACGCACCAGGAGTTTGGAAAACAACCCGAGTGATTTATCAAGGTAAAAAGAGTAGCTAAGGGCTCTGCCCACCAGTGAGGGTTTATGGTCAAGATCTCATTAAAACTGAGATCGGGGACAGGAGCTTTGCCGGATTTAAGTGAGATAATGAGTTCGAGGATCTCTTCAGGGGTGACTGGGGACCACTCAGGAAGGTCTTGTGATATGTTTACTGAAAAAGAACATGAGGGCGTGATGGAAAAAAATTTAGTAAAATAATCAGTCCAGGTAACAGAGGAAATAGAATTGGATGGTTTAAAAGATGAAGAGTTAGCCCGAGACACCAGAGACCAAAAAGCCTTTTGATCATATGATAGGATTGCTTGATGAAGTTGGGACCATTTCTGCTGCACAAACCAATGTTTTTCTCATCGAACAAGGCACGACCTGCCTTACACAAATGAAAATAGAATTTTAAAAGTGATGGAGTGGGTTGTTGACAAATTAGTTGGAATAGTGTCCTGATTTGTTTTTTTGTGTTTTTTTTTTGGGACCAACAATCTGAGTCAACCAAAGAGCTATGGTTGTCCCTAGGTGTTTGAGAGGGACAGGAAATGCACAGGAATTGAACCAATGAATCAATTAAAGAATTATATGTAGAGATAGCTGTGAGGGAAGAAAAAGCTGAATTTAAATTATCAGTAAGAGACTTGGTTTCTACTTGATGACTCCAAAGGGAAAAAACTTGGTCTGTTATTAAAGAGCATTTGAAAGGGTACAGAGATCTACGTAGGACCGGTAAGGGATGAGCCTGTGGTTAGGGGAGGGAAAGAGATAGGAGAATAGGAAGGTGATCGCTCTCAGTGCAGGTATCTACAAGAAAGTTCGTTATCTGGGGTAAGAGGTCTGGAGAGGCAAAAACATAATCGATGACACTCAAACCTCTCACTGAAAAATGAGTAAATTCACCGGGAATATCACTCCCCGAAGAACCATTGAGGATAGATACATTCAAA